GATCATAGATTACAAAAAAAATCGATCAAGTATTACAAAAAAAATCTATCATGGATAACACACACAAAAAAAAAAAAAAAAAAAAAAAAAAAAAAAAAATAATTCCGTACGGAATCGCCGATTCACTGTACAGAATCGTCCGGTTCCCTCTAGAACCGGACGATTTCCGATTTTTTGGGCGATCCGATCCCTTTTCACGATTTTCGAGTCGAACCGGGCGAGTCCGGTTCGACTCGACGTTTTTTAAAACGCTGGTTACGAACAAATTTAGAGCACTGTTATTAAGATTGGACAGGCCACTAGATCAATTTAAATGGATTTTTTTAAAAAGGATGTGGTTAGCTTGTCAGCACATTTAGAAATACCGGTTTGATAATAAACATATTTTTTAAATATAATTTGATATTAATGTTTAGAGAATACATAATCTTTACCATGAGATCATGAGAAAAAAAATTGAAAATTAAAAATAATAATTATATTAAAAAAACATTTAGACGGCTAGTTACAATTGTTTTTAGATAGACGACTTATTTGCATTCATCTTTAAAATGGATGTTTTATATTGTAAGAAGAAAAAATATCTTTTTATCTTTTTTTTTTTACTTCTCTTTTTTACCAAATTTAAGGTTCGAAAATGTTACTTGTTGAATAAAGTTCATTTTTTTTATCTTACGACCTTTGTATTTTTTTATTATAAATTTTTTACCCTAAGTACTAAAATAACACATATCTCTCTAATCACTTTCTCTCCCTAGTACCTAAAGATGCCCCTTTTTACATCTTCTAAAAAAATAAACCACCAAACTTTTTCAAAACACCCAAAGTACCCTCTCTCTCCATAGTCAAGGGGGGCATTTGATGGTCACTCCATAGAGAGAGAGTACGAGGGAGGGAGGGAGGAATTTAGAAAGAGGATTGAACTGCTATCTGTTGTTGTGAAGGTTGAGAGGATTTTAGAGAGAGAGAGGATGTTAGAGAGAGATTCAGTTGTTCTCTGATAAGTGTGGTGGAGGGAGGGAGGGAGGGAGAGAGAGAGATTCTACTATTTTTTGTTGAGAGAGAGAATATCAGGAAGAGGTAATTTCTAAGAGAGCGTTTGTTGTTATCTGCATCACAGGATTTGGGTATTAGATAGAGAGAGAGAGGGAGGGAGAGAGAGATAGAGCTTGAAAGTTCGATATGAGAGGGAGAGAGAGATTTTAAGAGCGTTCGGTGCTTTCCTTGAAACACAGGTTTTTGCCGTTAGAGAGAGAGAGGGAGATTTTACAGATTGAAGGAGAGCAATTTGAGAGAGAGATAGTACAGCTCTCTGTGACAAGTAGGAATTGCTGAGAGAGAGAGATTAAATAGAGCGAGGGAGAGAGATTTTACAAGGAGGAAAGATTTTATTGCTCTTGGATGAGGGAGATAGAGAGATATTTTACTGAAAGGTTTGACTGCCGTCAGTAACATTCAGAAATTCGGTGGAGAGAGAGATTTACTGCTATATTCAGCTCATGAGAGAGAGGAAAAAGAGACCATGCACAGAGGGTCTTTGCAACTTTGGGTATTAGAGACTAAGATGGAGGTTTGAGAGAGAGAGGATGATTTCATAGAGAGAGATGGTACTTTAGGTTTTTTAAAGGGTATGTGGTTTACTTTTTAGAAAGAGAAGAGATAGTGACGATGTAGAGAGGGGTAACTTTGAGCATTAGAGAGAGATAGAGTGTTGAAAGAGACGAGGGGCAACTTTGAGTATTAGAGAGAGATAGAGTGTTGAAAGAGAGACGGTGATTTGATAGAGAGATAGTGCTTTTAGAGATAAGTGTTATTTTAGTATTTATGTGAGTTAAAAATTTACGGTAAAAAAAATACAGGGGTTGCAAGATAAAAAAAAGATGCAGATTATAGGTTACAAGTAACATTTTCAAACATTGGGTATGATGAGAAGTAAAAGTAAAAAATAGGAGGTAAGGAGATATTTTTTCTTGTAGAAATGCGGTCTAGCTCGCATGAAACAATTGCTCTTTTTAAAATAAAAAATAATTATAAAATTAGAAAATAATACAGTATCATTGCGAGGTATGTATTGAACATATTATATTGAGTTTTTTTTTCTTTTTAATTACCATTTTACCTTCAATTTGAAAGTTTGACTTTTGAATTGCTTCAAATACAAATAAGATTGATCACAAAAAAAAAAAATGTATTTGGGTTTAGGCAATTCAAATTTTGGATTTACGAACTGCCCAACAATTTGGTTTTGTTTTCCTTTTCTTTTTTTCCTTTTTTTTTTTTTTTTTGGTTGACTTAAGCTATAGGAAAGTACAACTTTCAAATTACCTAAACCAACTTTTCTTGTATGAGATAGTTTGGAAATTGGACTTCCCAATAACCAAACACACACATATATATGGGAAAAGTTTACATAGAACCAATGCTCTAAACAATCAAATTTTAGCCTGTCTAAAAATTTTCACTAGAAGAGGTTGTTTTGATGTTCAAATATCTTCAAATTGATCATCTCAACATCAAGAAGCATGGACACGCGAAAAATATAGATTCAAGTTTTGAAAATGGTGTATTTTGTAACACATTTTTAGACCGTCAATTTTTAAAGTTTTCAAGTTTTCATAGATCTATCGATCTATACTATTTTTTTAGCTTTAAAATGTATAAATATTTTTATATTTGAAGGCAATCACAAAGACTTCCAATATTGAAATCACATTTTTCAATACTATTTGAAGATAGGCTCTAATTTGATTGTTTAGAGCCTATGCTCTGTACGAACCACACCCTATATATATATATATATATATATATATATATATATATATATATAGTAGTAGTAGTAGGTACGTACGTACTACGTACTACTATAAGTAGAAGTATAGTAGTACCTA